TAAATAGAAACAATTTGTTTTTGTTTAGCTATTAAACCACAAGGGAAAATCACCAAATTGGTTTAATTATCATACTTTTGTCTAGTTACTACCACCAGTATCTCTCCTGTAAATATTTATGTTCCATTTGTTGTGAGCATTCAGAAAAGTGTCTGCCAAGAAAATAATTTATATCCAGGTGTCCTTGTGAATGTATCAAACATCCAAATGATGGATGAAAAACTTGTGATCTGTTTTCTTGTAACCTTTAGAGTATCAGGTTCGAAAAGGAACAGAAATTACGAATTTTAATTATAATAAATAAAAACAAAAGTAATTTATAAAGGAACTAGTGTTATTTATCATACTTTTTTATGTACAGTAACTAAATAAAATGTTTGTATATCATGTTTTGAAATACACACTTACGTACATACATATAGATCAAGGAAGAGAATAAGTGTGCACTTGGGTATTGGTTGCTTCAAAAGTTTTCATTATTATTCTTATAATTATATCTGGTAGTAAGAATTTCAATAAATGCATATATATGTAGGATGGCTCAAAAAAGAATAAATATGGTGATTACACAAATAATAAAAGCATTTATTTAAAGACTAATGATGAAAGTTTATATTTCCGTAATCCCCTTTCACAACACGTTCAATATAGGCACTACATTGACTGATAACAGCCTGCTTTTGGATTGCCATATTGTTCATCGCTTCAGGGAATGTTTGTAGGGGGATGTTCTGAATCTCCTGACTGATATTGTCATTGAGCTCGTTAATAGTCCAAGGCTTGGTATTAGCATAAATTCTGTCTTTTAGATGACCCCATAAAAACAAGTCTAAAGGAGACAAATCAGGTGAATATTGTGGCCATTCCACGTCTTCGTGAAGATAAATGAGTTACTACTAACCAGGTTAACTATTGACAAATGATTTGAGGAATTTTACTTTCCTGAACTATACAAACAGTCTCGGCAAAGAAATGGAGGTATTTACATGAAAACATAGTTCTAGCAGGACAGGGCAACTTCTCATACAGCCAGGGAAACGTGGTGTTACCCTCTTGAAAAATTTCCAGAGCGACTGATTTATTTTTATGAAGAGTGGAATGGCTTCCATATTCACTTGATCTGTCACCTCCAGACATGTTTTTACCTTCTTGAAAAATTTCCAGACTGCCCGATTTATTTTTATGAGGAGGTGGAATGGCTTCCATATTCACCTGATCTGTCACCTCCAGACTTGTTTTTATGGGGTTATCTAAAAGACAGAATTTATGCTGACCCCAAGCCTCAGACTGTTAAAAGAGCTCAATGACAATATCTGCCAGGATATTCGGAACATCCTCCTACAAATATTCCTGAAGTGACGAACAATATGGCAATCCAAATGCAGGCTGTTATTGGTCAATGTGGAGCCTATGTTGAACATGTGTTGTGAAAGAGGATTATGGAAACACAAACTTTCGTCATTAGTCTTTAAATAAATGCTTTTATTATTTGGTAATCACCAGATTTATACTTCTTTGGGACACATTAAAATGTATAAATGTTTTGAGACACCCCATATCTATACATTCATTCAATGACTTTCTTCCTATTGAAGTATACATACTTTTTAAATATGTACATTTAACATATACAGCTTACACGCCATTCCAGCTGTTCTTTATAAATGTTTTATTTATTTTTCAGTACTGTAAAACATTTAGAAAAAACTTTTATTTCACGAAAAGATTACATTTACTGTGTTCCTCAAAGTGAGATGGATCTGTACATATACTGTTTTCTCTTGTCCAGATGTCCTGTATTTACTTCAATTATATACGAGCCAGATTGAACTGGTTTGTTGTATTTTATCTATAATTTAAAGTACACGGAGGCTGTTATTATGAAATTCTCTTGAAGTCTGTTGAATTGATGGATTTCATTTCCTGTTTATTACCTCCTAGTCCACTGGAAAATATTTTATCTGATGTAAACATGTGTTTATACAAGTATGGTTGCACTGGTGCAAAATTATCAGTAGCAATATACAATATAGCAGAAAAAACTAAGAAAGTACAATAAAACCAATAGATACAACTTCCTTTTGTTCATGTTATACAGGCGTTGTTTAGTTTACACAATTTGGGCCAAAACGTATGGTTAGCTGTAGAGTCTACCATTTGGATGTTATTGTACATCCTTTGGCAGGACAGAATATATGGCCAATGAATATACATAATGTTATAAATAGGCATGAAGGCTATGCTATATATGGAGACAAGAATGTGCTTTGACAAGTTAAACTTAACAATCTATTGTTAAACAGTTTAATATTCAATGAAAGTTTCCACGTCTTCTTTAATGATGTTTTTTTCATGATTTGTATTGAAAGATTTGGAATAATTTGATCAGGTTTGATATTTTTGTCATTCCTGTGAACTATTCTGGCCAGTGATTAACCACAAGAAGCCAGTCCATTGAACATTAAGCTTGCACGTCACAGACCTATTCTGGAATCTCCCGGCTCATTTTTCTTACTCCCAATATTCCGTGTGTTGTTATTGACATTTCACTTACAGTTCTAGGTGAGTATTTTTCACACATGTTAATATTAATTTTATGCAAATAGAACATATTTAAAGAGAAACAATATTTGGTTGCTCCAAATCCAGCTTTTTGAAAACAAAACTTTGAGCATATTAGATGAATGAAAAATAATTGGTCTGTAAGGTAGTGCGTACGAACTATACCAAATTCCTTAAATTCAAAAACAATTTGAATGATATACCCCTTGTACATGGGCACTAATGTTACCTCTAATCTTTTCAATACATGTGTGGAATGAATTTTCTCATGTGCACGAGTATCAAGGCAATGTGCACTACCAGGTTGTTGTTTTTTTGGGGGAGGGGGTATTTTTACACCATCAACTCTATTGAACCATTAGGCCACTTTGCAATGCTACCAGTTGGTTATTTGGGCTTTAGATCTGTTGACTGCCAGGGGCATTAAAGCTGTCAACGTGTTGAAACTCCTCACCATTACTGAGAATGTGCGCAGCATTTGATTAGTTGTGCAGCTTGGAGGGAACCCTGATGGGCACCAACATTCTGTTAGATTTCTTTCAAAGCTGCTCAAATATTTCAGTTTTGTGTAGAGGATTACGGGAATTAGTAGGTTATGCCTACATTTTTCTAGCTTATAGTATAATTTTGAGTATTTTAATTAATTAAATGCTTTCTTTTTTAATTTACAAAAGTTATGCATTTATCTTGCATGTTGTTAAAAACATTAATAAGAAAGAAGAGGTTATTGTTTCGTAATGAACTCCATTAATGTTTATTTTGCGTTTTTGTTAAATATATTTTGCTTCGTGTTTGAACAATCTATTTAAATGTTTTTACAGGAAAAAAAAGTACTACTTACAATGCTTTTAATGGAATAAGAAGAAATTTGTGTTTCTTGATGATTTTTACTTTCCATTAGCTGAATCCATCTAAGAAAATATTGTTGTCTTGTTCATAACTTTAACTTCTAATATGTTGAAAAAAAAAACTGTCTGAAAACTGCACAATACAAAAATCTAGAGATGTCATTCAACTTGATGTTGATTTTTGAATTCTTATGGTGTTTAAGTTAAATTACACAACCACAACATTACTAGATAAAGATTTCATTGATGATGGAATATTTCCAAGTTAAGCTGAAATGGATAGATTTTTGGAAAACTAGTAATAATAATAAAATTAATAGAAACCACCAATTTTGACATAACCTACTTTACAGTTTTACGATATATTTTTCTGAACAATGTATACTAGTATTTCTTAGAACATTGTAGCTTTAGTGAAATACATAAAGGGTTAAAATATTTCTAAAAGTTTTGTTGACAGATGCAAAGCTGTACAGTGGGTTATCTGCATGGATCAAACCCCAGTTTTTAGTTCACAAAATTAGTGGGCTTAAATTTCTTTAGAAAGTTGTTGTGCTGTGCGTACAACTGTTTTGCTAAATATTTGATAAAGTTCGAACAAACAGGAAGTTTCCAAGAGAAAAGTATTATTTTAAGAGTGATCCCAACTAAACATAAAACTGTCATCTGGATTAGTTAGTACTGTAATGGAGAAAGAGAAAGCTTTGCTGAAGAAGTCGAACATCTTGATATAGGATTAATTTTCAGTTACCCTAGAAACACTGAAGTTTTAAGAACTATACTGGTTCCTTCATCAAATATACCATAATAAACATATTGTTTCAACTGTACATTAGAAAAATTATTCTTACACGTTATGATGAAATGTGAACTTCTGTAGAAAAATAACTTGTGAAAATGGTTTGTATTTCAATAAAGAAGAGCAAATGATTTTGTATTTTTCTGTAGTTATGAAAACCTTTACACTAGTGTTGGTGTATGTGGAAAGCATCTGTAATAAACTACTACTTATGTTTACTTTTTTTGTAACATGATGGGCAATCTGTGCCTTGCTCAACAAAAGTATTGAAATACTGATTTTAGTGTCATAAATCTGCAGCCTTTCCACAAGGAAGGAAGGGTTCTCCATGTTTAAGTTTCTAATAAATTGCAAACAATTTACTCCATACTATTGACTAATTATCTTGAACAAAGGATTTTATAAAATTACTATTTATTTGTTGCATGACTACGATTAGAAAATTTTCTGCAAATAGAAAACATAACATTGGTATGAATCAATCGATCATGGTGTCCTCACCAATTCTGAGTGTCGCTGGCTATGATTCTCCATTCTTTACTGCCTGCACCAACTTTCCTAATTCAAGCTTCTCATCTTCAATCCATTTTCCAATATCATTGAGCCAAGCAAGTCTGTATCTGCTCCAAACTCTTTTTTTTCCTTTGATTTTACCCATCAGAATATATATATACACGCTTGATTTTTAGGCAAAATGTAGCAAAAGCTACTCATACTTACTTAGAACATATGGAGAACTAATTTCAAAACTGTAAAATACATTAATTATACTTATTACTAACGGAAAAAGATTACATTTCTGTAGATCATTTATTTCTCTGCTTAAATAAGATGTACATGTTTTTACTTGTATTACTATTTTAATGTGTCCTACAAGACCAATAGTAAACCAATAACACATCAAGTTTAATTACTGTTTTTGCTGTTTTACAACTGAAATTATTTCATAAGGAATACAGTTTTCTTAACCAAGAAAATCACGGAATGCACAGGCATAAACGGAGTGAATTTCTAACACAGCTTTATTTAGTCTTCTTCTTTGATTTCTGAGTACTTTCAACGTTCTCAATCTGAGGTTTCTGCCAAGGTAAAGGTTCTCGTCGATACATGGGCCAAGGTGGCAATGTCAGCTAATATGTATAGAGGATAAAGGAAACTTGTATAAATCCAACTTTAAAAGAATAAAAAAATAAATAACAGAAATATGTTGTCAAAAAGTTAATGTTAAAATATTTGTGGTTAATAATTATGGGTACATGAGTAATTATTTAAGATCAATTAAAAATGTAAATCAGTAGTCACAATGTTCTGTCATAATCGTAACAAAACACCACTGAGCATGGCTTCACAATGTTCTGTCATAATTGTAACAAAACACCACTGAGCACGCTTCACAGTGTTCTGTCATAATCGTAACAAAACACCACTGAGCATGGCTTCACAATGTTCTGTCATAATCGTAACAAAACAGTAATGTGTTAAAAGTTTTTATACATATTTACTCAAACTTTCATAATTTCCCTACTTGTATCAGATCATGAAAGTTTTACACAATTATAAAAAAATGTTGATTATTTTTTATTTAAATAGATAAGCTTTTTAACACATTTTGATTATCTATGGTTTTAAAATATGATGCAATAAACATCAGATTACTTAGCATATGGTAAAATTGTAATTTAAAATGTTCAAATCTATTACAGTACAGTATCACTCCATATTGATAACAAATGTCCAATTGTTTTTTATTCTAGAAATCTGATAACCCTAGGCATGACTAATTTAAAATAGTGTTATTTATTACTGTTCCTAACACTACTAACAACTCATGCTAACTTTAAGGCAACCTGGATTTAAATTCTGATATTGAATGCCACAAGTAACCTGCCTACAAAAAAACCTGTAAAAGATTTATGAATAATTATCTACAGCTTAAATGTAAAATCAATAAAATGATTTTTTTACTTTTAAAACAACATGTAAAAAACAAAAACAGGCTATTCGATTGGGTCCATATTTCTTAATTATGTTTAAAATTGTATCTTTTATAAACCTGTGCTGTTTCACTCTGAAAACATTGGCATACTTAATTTTTTAAATCAAATAATTAACTTACCAAGCAAGATAAGACAAATCCTGCACCCAGAATGTATACAGTGTAAGAAAACTGCTGGTAAATGTATCCCCCGATAAACCCTACAATCTGAAATAATAATAATATACATCTTTTGTTGAAATGCACACATTATGACACAAAATATTTGGAAGAATATTATTTCATGGTAAAAATACTAGTCAATATTCCAGTAACATCCCTTAAATTTGTAAAGTCGTGAGTTGACAAGAAGAATACAAAACATAAACTATGCATATTATGTCTCAAACTTTCACAATAACAATTTTTAAGTACATCAAAGTACCTCAAGCAAGTACAAAATTTTGCAATATCGGAAGAGAATGTTACGAAGTGATATGACGAACTTCATACCGAGATGTCACTCGGTGCTCTAAGAATAATGTACTAGAAGTCAAGTCCTAACTTTTTCTAAACCTTACATATGAACTGTATTTCATTTATTATGCACCATGACAATTTACCTTAACAATCAGCTTACTATAATGGACATAGTGTGTATGTCAGTATCTATGTATATAACCAAAACTCCTGCACCATCTATTGAATGCCACCACATACAAAAATCCATAAAAAATTTCACATTTTGGATATTCAAGATTCAGACAATTAGAAAAATAACTGTGGTATGTGCAACAACCATTTCTTTATAATAGAACACAATTTTAGATAAAGGTACTCTCCTCACAACAAGAACATGACTTTCACTAGGACTGTATGCGACGGTTTGATTATATCTTTATTGATTTAATTTTTAAATGTAGTACTATGAGACTGGTGTTTTTAAAAAAACTTTTAATGTATAGAAATATTACAGTTTATATCAGTAAAATTAATGAAAAGGTTTAGCTCTGTACATTGAATTGTTTTGGTGTAATGAGTTGAGTATGACTAAAGAGCACAATCCTGACACTTTTCCTGTGCTGTACTTTCCAGAAAAAAAAATATATATAAAAAAATACCTTTTTAGAAAATGTTCACTTTTTCTAAATTTTTTTTCAATGAGGTATGAATACTACAATTAGTAATTACTAGCACAAACAGCCACCTATAGGCAGCATTTCTGCTTGTATTTTACAACATAAAGTTTAATTATTTCAGTGCATGTGGTCTGTCTAATTTAAGAACTTTGATGTACCTGTGAAAACAGTTCTGAAATTTAATGCACCAGTAATTATACTTATCAACGAATGTGTAGTTTCCACTCTTGATAACCTCCAGTGACACAAATAAAACATTTGATATATTCTTTTAATGTGCTACAACTATTATGTATAAAAAAAATAGTGTGTGCGCGTGTATACAATTTGTGATAGTAAACATTTTCCTATATCTTAATTAATGTATCTAATTATCAGTATTTTCTACCTAACTTTTCCACATCAAAAAAATTGAATTTAATTAATAATAATAATAAAACAACTTAACAGAATATCTCACTTATTTCAAAACTTATCAGTTCTATATGAAAACCAAAAGTTTACCTGAAATGCTATTACACAGTAATAACAACCAAATGTAGAGAAGAAATTTATATTGAAAGTTAATGAATCAATAATGTTTTTTTAAGCCTACTAAAGTCACCTTAAAGCATAATACTTTATGTAATAGGTCTGAAGTTTTCAAACAATGAAAACTATTTCTACACTAACACACTCTTATTTACAGCACTACACAACAGCTGTACAACCATGATAAGGTTACAAACTAAAAGATATCATTATATAGATTATCCAAGAGTTTCAATTAATAGGTAATACAAACAATAACCTTACACCAAATACTAAAATGATGGTCTGAAATATCTTCTCTGCTCTACGTTGACCATCAAAGTCCTGAAAAAAATTTTACAAACTTTAGCACATAACTCCATATCAAAAACTGTGTTCATACATACATACACACACACACACAATACAGAACTTAAGTAATAAAAACTTAACAAGCAACTTAACAGAATATCTCTCACTTATTCCAAAACTTATCAGTTCTATATGAAAAACCAAAAGTTTACATGAAATGCTATTACACAGTAATAACAACAACCAATAAAATAAAATGAAAGAAAAACTGACATATAATTGAATCAATCCCAATTTATTTCAATCACTAACCATAATTTGATTGGCTACAACAACATTTCCATATTTAGCTAAAAAAATAATAATCAGGTACAAAATGAACACTTTTTATTTGTTTTTTTCAAATATGATAAATGTAAAAAATTGTGATGCAATAAATACAGGGGGAGATTAAACAATTGGGAATCAATGTCACACATTGTGTAGGTGTATCATAAGTACTGTATGCAACCATAAGCTATATCATCATCAAAATTGGAAAGACAAACAGTAATAAAGTTTTAGTGTGTATCAACTTCATTCATATCATATTTGGAAAGTATCACAATTTAAGTAAACATGCATTTCACATTATGTTTTAGGGCAACATGGGACTTATTGGTTCATCTTGGCTGTTCCATCCTCTAAACTAAACTATTAATATTTTTTTTTTTAAATCTTGAGGCCAGCCCTTATCATTCATATACTTCTCAAGCTTTCTCTTAAACTCACAACATCCAAAGGCAACCCATTCCAAAGGCCAATCACCCTGTTAGAAAAAGAAAACTGTCTTAGCTGAAAATTGCTCCCATCTTACCAAAATTTATATTTGTGTCCC